GGGGGGAGCCACTGGTCCCTGGGTGTGAGAAGACGCCAGCGCTGCTAGAATGGAGGGTATGCTGGGGGGACAAGGAGAGCCTCTCCTTGCTGGCAGAGCAGGCAAGTGGGGCCAGGGGTGCTGCTGGGTCTTGGCGCAGGCAGGGTCCTGCCCCCGGCACTGCCCTCCTTTGCCTTGCGTGCCCCTGTATCCTGGCATCACTGACCCCTGTCTCTCCCATCCCCAGCTCTATGAACTGGATGAGGACCCGAAACGCAAGGAGTTCCTGGATGACCTCTTTGGCTTCATGCAGAAGAGAGGTAAAGGTGGATGGCTGGGGTAGGCGCTGCTGGCACCCCTGCCCCAGCTGCCTGGGGGGCTCATGGTGTGGTCCACTTGGGCATCAAGCTGCTGCAGATCTCTACAAGCCCCCCGAGGCAGGTCTTGCAGGGCCTCCCCCCACCATCTCCTACAGACACACATACATGCATAAACTCACACTCAGCAGATTTGCCCCCGTTGCCCCAGGCGGGTGCCCCCATGGGGTGACTGCTGGCCAGAGGAGCTCCCCTGGTCCTCCCCAGGTGGGGCTGGCAGCAGTGCCCATTGCTCGTGCCTCCTAGTGATGCCCAGCAGGGATGCCCACTAGCAATGCCCGGTGCAGATACCTGTTGGCAAATTCCTTGGTGACAACTGCTAGCAACACCTCTTAATGAAACGGTGCTGATAAGCGCTCCCCATTAGGAGTGCCCGGTGAGGATGCCCGTTAATGGCACCTCTGAGCGATCGATGCCCATGATGCCACAGGAGTGGGGTCAGTGGTACGGGCAGCACCGGGCTCCCAGGGGTTAAGGGCTTGCCAGCCAGCCAGGCCACATTGGAAATCTTTGCTATCAGCATAGGGGGCCAAACCGGCTTCTGGGAACTCAATAAATGCTTTAACCTTCGCCCTCCCCAGCCAGGCCTGCAACAATTAAAAGTTGCTGAGCGCGGGCGTGTGGCCGGCTGTGTTAATTAGAGCCTTTTGCCGGGCTGTGTTTTTTATTAATGAACATGCCACTCAATAGCCAGTAAACCCCAGGCAGAGGTTAATGCCGAGCTAATTAACAGGGGGAGGGCTGGGGGGATGGTGCGGGGAACAGTGGGGCTGGCTGTGTGCAGGGCGAGGATGGGCAGAAAGGGGCAGTTGCCCCCTGGTAATGCCCATGGGAAGGGTGGTGAGGATGCCCACCCACCCATGGGGTGGTAGTGATTGACTTTTGGGTCAGGCTGAGACCCCACAAACTCATTTCACTCAGGACTGTGCTGCAGGGGGCTGGCATGACTGTGGGGCTCACGCCAGAGCCCAACCGGAGGCGGAGGGGGGGGTGGCCGGGTACTGCCCCATGGGTGCCCCCCATCCCACTGGCCCTGGTGTGAAGCTGTGGGGAGCAAGTGGGAGCATCAGTGCTGACGTGGCCCCCCAGCATCCATCAGCTGCAAGATTCATCGGCTGCTGCAGCTTCATTATCTCTCTCTCCAGAGCTAATTAACTCCCTCACCACTGGGGCTGGGGCTAATTAAGCAAGCGCCTGGTGATTCAGGGAGGAGGGAGGGAGTCCAGTGCTTCCCTTCCAACTCTGCTCCTCTCTCTCCATGTCCTGTGGTCCTGTTCCTGTCCCCTCTGTCCCATGTCTCCTCCCAATGGGGGGCATCCCCCCAGGGAGGGCAGGCAGGGGTACAGATGCAGGTGTGCATGCACCTGTTGGAGAAATAAGGGATTTTTGAGCAGGCCAGCAAAGAGAAAGGGGACAGGGGGCTACGAGACAGTGACAGCATGCCAGGTATCATCAGGAGCTGGCCAAGAAGCAGGACCCATGAGCCAGCATGGATGCTGCTAGGGCATGCAGGGGGCTGCAACACCTGGGCTGTGTGCTTGAGGTGGCAGTGAGCCAGGGAGATTGATGCCTGTGGGGTGAGCCCTAACGAAAAGAGCTGCTTCCCCCCATGCTGTCTGTCAGGTCATTTGCCAGTGGGGTGGAAAATTAGAGGGGCCGAAATATGGGCTGGGGATAGCCCCACTGGGGGGGACATCGGGCACCCCATGGCACAGGGCAGGTCATCCAGCCCCAGTGGCATGTGGAGGTGACTGCTGGAAGGGATCTGAGGGAGCAGGAACAAGACGGGGGTGATGGTATCACCCCCATCAGACATGGGGTGCAGGCAGTGGGGCACCTCATCCCTGTGTCCCAACCTCCATGGCACCCGCAAAAGTACAGGTGGGACATAGGGGGACTGTTTCTGCTTTTGCTCACTGGGAGCCCACAGAACATCCCATCTCCCCGATGAGCTGAGGGCCCTGCCGATAACACGGGCCCGTTAATCAATCAAGGAGCTAATTGCAGCACCACAATGGCTGCATCACCTCCCCAGGCTTTTGTGCTGCTCACTCTGGCCAGGGTTGGGGATGGGGCCATCACTCTGTGGGGACGCAGACAGGTCCCTTTGTCAGTGGGACGGGCACCGGCTGCCTGTCCCGTGCAGCCCGGAGATTAATGGCGAGCCGCTTTCATTAGCCGCTAGAGCTGGGGAGGGAAGAAGGAGACAAGAAGTCTGTGGTCCATCGATTGGGGGCTGAGACCCCACAGACTTGTTGTCATGTTGGGATGATGGGGAGCCCTTGAATAGGTCCCTGCCAAGGTGACGGGGCTGGTGTCGGCAGCCCCCGGGCAGGTCTGGCGAGGGACTGTCGGCAGATATCAAGTCGATATCTCTGTCTTTTCCCAGGAGGATAAACTCCTCTCCCCCTTCCTGACTGGGCGAACAACACAGACACACACAAAAAAAAAAGTTAAATGAACTCAGTAAAAGAATAAAAAGAGCTCATTTTTCAGGCTTATGTGAAGAAGCCGAGCCAATATCGGGGCCATAAATTAGGGATGCTGGAGGATGGTGGTGAGTGACTGCTTTGTTTGAGGGGCAAAGCGCGGCCGTGACAGCCTCCCCCGGCCAAATGGATGGCTTTCCAATACTGCCTGTTCTCTGCCACCCCACAGGAAGAATAAATACGGGGTGGGATGGGACAGAATGGGATGGGATGCTCATCCCTCCTCTGCCCTGCTGCAGTCCCCAGTTGCTGCCTGGACCGTTGCCCTGAGGTGCGGTGGGGCAGAACAAGGCTGTGGGGATATTTGGGGGTGCTGGGAAAGTGGAGAGGAGGTTGTAACCAGACCCAGTGGCTGTGGGGACCATGCTCGTCCATACTGGGGTCACAGAGCGCTGGTGACCCCATGTCCCCCTTGCCCCATAACCTTGGTGGGGGGTGATGCTGAAGGACCAGGGGTCAGGGTGTCTTCTGGGGGCACTTGAAAGGGGTTTGGGGTCAGGTCTCTTGAGGCAGGGCACTGAAGACCTTAAAGCAGTTGGGGGTTGCTGGTGGGGATCTGTGGGGTGGGTAGTCACTCCGGGGGCTCTTGGGGGAGTCCCTCGCTATGGGGCTCAGAGGGGGATTTTTAAGAGAGAAAATCTCTCTATAGGGAGGTGATAGGGTGAGTCCCTTCAGAAGGGTTATGGGGGCGGTCCCTCTTTGGAGAGGTTTATAGGGTGAGCCCCTCTATGAAGTTTAGGTGGGGGTCTCTCTTTATGGGGCTGTGAAAGGGGGTTACAGAGAAAATCCTTTCAGGATGCTCTGAGACATTTGGGGGGAGATGCTCTATAGGGAGCCCTAAGAGTTGTGGGGGGGCGACCCTCTGTGGGGGTCTGGAAGAGGCACTTTGCCCATCTCACTGTACCCCCCACAGCCCAGCTGAGAGTGTACCTGGTGCCACCAGCAGCTCTGTGGATGAGGACCCTGTGCCAGCATGCTGGGGTCTGCCCTGCTCACGGGCATGGTGCTGCCCTCCTAGGCACCCTGTGGTCCTACCTGCACCCCCCATGCCTGTGAGTGCTCATCCGGGCATGGAGAGACATTTCTCCCCTTGGGGGGCAGCCGGTACCTGCAGTGGCAGTGGGGACAAGGTGGGGGCCATCTCCCCAGGGAGTGAGGGTCCCCATGGGCTCACCCTGCACCCTTTTCTCTTCCCACTATGTATGGCCTGAAGGGACACCCGTGAACCGCATCCCCATCATGGCCAAGCAGGTGCTGGACCTGTACATGCTCTACCGACTCGTGACGGACAAGGGTGGCCTGGTCGAAGTCATCAATAAGAAGCTGTGGCGGGAGATCACCAAGGGCCTCAACCTGCCTTCCTCCATCACCAGCGCTTCCTTCACCCTCCGCACGCAGTGAGCACCCAGCAGTGGGTGGGGGGCACCCGCCCTGGGGTACTTGGTGGCTCGGATGTCCCAGAGCCCTGAGTTGGGGTCTGGCGTTGGGTGTCCCAAAGGGGATGGAGGGCTCTACCCCTTCCCAGATTCCATCCCAACCCCTGGTCCCCACTCGGCACGGGGCTGGCAGGGAGGCGCATGATGCTGGGTCTCCTCCTGGCTTGGCTCTCTCCCCACGCAGATACATGAAGTACTTGTACCCCTACGAATGTGAGAAGCAGGCGTTCAGTTGCCCCAGTGAGCTCCAAGCTGCCATCGACAGCAACCGGCGGGAGGGACGGAGGCAGACCTTCGGCACGGCACTCTTCAACTACTCACCCACCCCAACCCTGCTGGGCTCCCCTGAAATGCCTGTGCCTGCTCTTAGCATCTCCGCGCACAGCTGCAGCCAGCTTGGCCAAGCACACACGGTTAAGAACGGTGAGTGAGGACCACATGTGCCCCGCAGCAGGCAGCTCTCCCCGGGGATAGACGCTAGTCTGGCAGCAGGGATGTTCAGTCTGCTCTTGCCCTTTTTGCTTGGGGAAAATAGGAAAAATTTTGTTCTTCTGTTTCTGGAACGGAGATATGTTTAATTCTGGCTTTGGGTAAAGACCAAGCTCAGATGTTGGGGGTGGTGGCCCAACCTGCCCCATGCTAGTGGGGT